AGAATCTGAAGCAAAAAGCAGTTCGAATGATAAAATGCTTTATTCACATCTTTTACAGTATCTAATATCGATTGGGTTCGTTTGGTTCGTGTGCTTGGTATTGACGTTAACAAATCTTGAGCCATATGAAGGCGAAGCGAGGGTTGACAAAAATCAGACCATGGCTGTACTGCACAATTCACCATGGTTAAGTGTACCATATCCTGGTGAGAGTTGTTTTGAGTAACTAGCTTTTCTGGTGCACTACCTTGGAACTTTCGATCAATTTATCGTGCATATCGTCTTCTGTTTAGCTGTACTTACGTATTCTTAGAAGAAAAGTGATACTCATATGAATTCAAAAGTGAATAACTTCACTGAAGTTGATAAACAGCATCTGTAAAGTGAGAAATGGGAGACGGAATTCGTTTGAATTGTTCAACTTTTCAAAACATCTTTTTGTTCAGATGACAATTTGTTTGATGAAGCTTCATAAAAATAAGAACAGGTTTTGAGCTCACTGTTCAGTTCAATTTGATGTCCATATCCTTTTCTTGAGTTATTTCACGACCAGTAAACTGTGATATGTGATCCATAAGCTACAAAAAACACCAAATGCTGTCAACCAATTCTACTTTACAATTTGAAAGTGCATACGAAAATTGCATCCGAGATCTGAAGTCAGCAACGTTCCCAAATTTCGGATTAAAGGTCAATTTGGCATGCCACGTGTTAGTCTTGGGTTGACATTCGGCTTTCTCGCATCATGTGTCGCATGCGTTATCGAAACACTCGGATCCTATGCGACGATCGCTCGTGTGTCCCAAGAATCAACCGCACCATCATCATCCATTAACCGAGGCATCCTGATCGAGGGTGAGNAAGCAATTTTAGTACAGTACGTATTGATTGTAGGCATTGGATGTTGTTTATCAGCTGTGATGGGAACATGTGTGGGAGTCACTACTTTCACTGAAAATGTTGCGCTAGTTTCTGTTACAAAGGTATTTTTCGAATTTACTTCAGTGACAATTTCAACTCTTTAAGATTCCTGAATTCAGAACGCACATCATGAACAATTGCGAAAATGAAAGCACTTGTTCCATGCGTATTTCGCAAAATTTCGCCTGCCACACCTTGACATGACAGATTCCGTTTTCGCGATGCAAAATAAATTCATCCAATTGTCATATGATAGTTGTTCTTCCATCGAATTTATAGGTTCAGAGGAATCTAGGCAGTTGTTTTGCAACAGTCAGTTCAAGTTGTTTTAAGGTTGCAAGTCGGTTCACAATGACACTGGCTGGTTGTATGCTCATCATTCTGGGTATTTTTGCAAAAGTTGGTGCACTGTTGGCCACCATTCCAAGCGCTTGTATTGGTGCTGTGTTATTGGTTGGTATGAGTATGATACTCGGTGTTGGATTAGCGTGTTTAGAGGTTGGTGTCGTATGCTTCCGTTCCAGTTTTTTGCGAGCATGTTTCGTTCTCCTTCTTCAACCATTCTATCCGTTCCATTCATGTACTTTTCATTTGATAACGTTCCGTTCCTGAAATGAAATTTTTTTTGACTGTTTTCTTCCATGCGAAGAACGACTGTTCTCAGTTTCGTGCCGTTTCGTTGCAACGTAGAGCAAATTTTTTTCTCACTATCCCAGTTTGCTTGTAGCTTGGAATTTAAGGAGTATGGAGTAAAATCATTTGAAAGATTAATTGAATTGTTAGTCGAAAGATCAGAATGATTAACACGATGCGTTATTTGTCCATGTCAATGCATATATCAAAATGAACAATTTGAAAANAAACATTGAATCAGTGAATGTTATATTAGCAAGCGATTGAAGTAATCCACATTACATCACACATACACAGTCGTGTTGAATATATGAAAAACAATGCGATTATTTGAATTGAATGGACACGATGTGAATCATCAGTATGATTCGGAATGAAAATAAATATTGAAATAATTGATCATATGCGAACATTGCAAATGATTCCGTTATTACCTAAATATTGAACAAAACACTCGAGTGTAACAAGCCGTAATGTAAACTTGTTCTAACTTCTAGCATTATTACAACTAATGACAACAAAATGAAATGAGTTTTTGCATTTACAGTCGGTTGATTTGAAGATATCGCGCAACTTAACAATCATGGGTTTTTCGGTTCTGATAGGAATTCTCGTTCCGCAATATTTCAAGCAACATCCACCAACCACTGGTTAGCAAATGTTTTTGTCCGAATTATTTTTTGATTGAAGCAGAAGAGGATGTCTGAAAATCTGCTCATGGAATGTTTTAGGTTCCGTAGAGTTGGATCAGGTATTGCAGATTCTGTTGACCATACCTATGTTTGTTGGAGGCATCATAGCGTTCTTTCTTGACAATACAGTCGGAGGTAAACGTTGCTTTTTTTGGGATATCTTTCCAAACTTATCTGATATTATTATCATGAGTCGTGTCTATTCATTCGACTTCAATCTGCAAACATTTACTTTCATCCCAAAACCGAACTGAGACATTTTGGTGACGGTCCATACGTTCCTGAACTACCAGAACGTCC